TGGTATATAAAAGGAATTGTTATCTTGTTTTAGTTAGTTCGTTTTAGTTCGTTAAAAGTAAAGGATTGTTATGTTGAAAATTAAAAAATAAAAGTTTAAAGGATGTAAAAGACTTATTTTAATTCCAGCGTAGTAAAGATTGCTACAGATATTGCGTAAAATTATGTATGTTTACTGCTTGAAATTTATGTTTTATATTCACTATATTAGAAAATCCTAATATGTACAAATGTGCTTGATTGAATAAAGATATATGTCTGTCCGTCTGTCTGCCTGTTGAATTCCAAAAATTCGAATTTGAAATTTTTGCCCACAATCTCACAGGTAAGCTGTTTCAATTAATAAAAAAGGTCTTCATGTTTATGGAAAAAAATCTCACCAGGTAAGCTTTATTAATGATTAAATGTCTCATGTTTATGGCACAATCTCATTCGGGTAAGCTGTTATTATGGTTAAAATGTTTCATGTTTATGTTCACAATCTCACCAGCTTAGCTGTTATGATGATTAAAATGTCTCATGTTATGGCTGAATATCATCAGCTAAGCTGTTATAATGGTTAAATGTTTCATGTTTTATGGCACACTCTCATCAGGTAAGCTGTTATAATGTTTAAATATCTCATGTTTATGGCAAAATCTCTTTAACAATCAAGTTAAGCAAAAATTATTTATTACTTATATTGTAAAAATTACAAAATAGAATTATAAATGATATTTAGGTGATATTGTTTATAACCCTGGCATAAGTTATTGAAATGTTTGTTTTGTCAGTCTGTCTAGGTTAGGATAGGGATACTTTTTAAAACGATTCTGTCAACAAACATTTTGGATTTTACTAGACACGAGACTGGCAGATCTAAAAGTCACACATTCCTTACCCTTTACTTTGTCCAAAGGGAAATTTAGGCTTTTCTATTACAAAAGATCGTGGCAAAAATGATATAGTAATTTTTATTATGAAGAGACAATTGTATTTATATACCTTTCACAAACATTAGCTCATATATTTTCAGATAGCTGAGTTAGTGAGAGAGTTAAGACTTGGAACCTTGATCATTTGTTAGAAGATAAAATTAAGACGCAACACCTGGACCTGTGTACCTTGCCCCAGGGGCAGTAAAATTATAGACACTATAGTTAAACTTATTACTACCAGATAGTGTGCTAAATAAAATTAATATAAATAGTGAAAAATCTTTCAGGAGTTTTGTTTTGATATTTTAAAGAAATTGTATACCAGCAGTTCGCAGAATGCCTCAAGATTCCTGTCAATTTCTTAGCAAAAGTAAGGAAATTTGTTCTTAGTAGAAGAAATTATTGTGAAGCCAGAATATAAGGGGTATTCAAGTCAGTCACTTACTACTGTAAAAGCAGATTTTTCACTAGGCCAAAATGAAAGATTTGTAGAAAACATAACATGTGCAATATACATATATTATTCGATTTCTAAAACTCTTGAGGCGTACATGGCCAAGTGGTTAAAATTGTTGACCTAAAACAATTTGCCTCTCATCACTAATTGGTTGATTCCTGCCAGAGATTTAATAATACATGTAGAGGCAGAGGACCTCATCATTTAAGTTGGATTATCGCCTTTTGACGATTACAGTGTTGGTGCTACACCATTTGACGTTTGTAGTGTTGTTGCTATGCTATATGACCTTTTTACATTGTTGGTGCAATGTAAAACAAAAAATATGATACTCTTGATATATTTTCTTTCTTTAGTGTGAAGTTTTGACATTTTGTTTACCAATCTGAGAGTGTACAGCTTTGGATTTTAAGGTTTAAAAATGTGAATTCAGATATATGAAATGAAATAGTAGTTTCAGAGTAAGTTAATATGATCTAGGAATATTGCAATGATGACAGTGTTAATGTTATTCTCAAACAAATAGCCTTTTTCTCAAATTTGGCTATTATGAAAGTCTGTATTGTGCATATATAAGAAGTTATCATGAAATCTTTTTTGCAAAATGTAAACATCAAAACTTAGCAATTTGAAGCATTATCCCCTAAACTATATATTCCAAACACTTTTGTATAAAATATCTTTTAATGAAAGCATTCAATAAACTATTTTAAGCCTCAAACTTTTGGAGAAAAATGTGAAAGTATTATCATGACCTTTTTTGGTTACATTTCTCATTTATGTTTTTTGACTTCAAAACTTATACCCTATTGACAATAGGCCGAGTTTTCACATCTTTTACAAAACCTGAGACCACTAAGCTCAACTTTGACGGTTCCAGTGGCCAGTGCTAGTGGCAGTAGGCAATGAGAAAGGTGAACTGTGATAGAAGTTAACTGTGATAGAAATGGTGATAGGGAGTTCATATGATTTTCACAGCGAGCCAGAAATTGCACCAGAACATTTCCCATGGTTCAGGAAAGATAAGATGTAGCCTTAAATGTTTTTTTTCTTTTTATTATGCATCAGTTTGTTCACATAGATGACATAACAATTAGCAATGTATTTGACTTTTTAAACACACCACAAACTGCTTAATTCAAAAGCAGTGATTTTATTTTTTGCATCTGTAACATAACACCTTATTTATACCATTTGATAATCTGACAATAGGAAATATATATAAGGAGCTATCTATCCTTTAATCTTAAAAAGTTGTATGTAAGTTGTACTTTAAGCAAAGTCTTCTTGTCAAGTTGAATGTACATAACAGTAAATTAAACTGTAAAATACATCATTGATTTAAACTTATAATGGAAGGAATAATAGTTTACAGTACTTTTTTTAATTGAGTCTCTTAACATTTTTACATTGTGCATATCTTTATATCTGCACATACTTAGAGCATATTAATGCTAGGATTTTTTATTAGTATGGCATGTTTTGGTACTAAAATAAGAACAAAACAAATAATTGTTGTTGGTTACAGCAATAATGGCCCTGAAGATGGGCAGAGTATAGGAATCATTTACTCTGATACACAATGAAGGCATATATATATATAGATTGTTACAAGAATAAAGAAACATTAACAAGAAACATGTTTATCATCTCAGTATGCCCAATGATGTAAAACAACATCCATGATCTTCAGTCGAAACACATACAGTCTTAAGAAAGTCATCATTTATGATGACATAACTCCACATTTTCAAGTCAGAAACCATTTCAGTAATAAATTAGAACTCATGTTTTTATTTTTATAAGAAACCATTTCATTTTACTAACAAACTCTTGAAAGTCCATCCATTAATGAGAAAGTTATAGACTGAACATATAACCGACTTACTTGTATATTTTCACAAAAGTAAAACCCCCAAAAGTTGGGGAATTTATTTTTTGAAAATTTTTTTAAAATTACTGGTTCGGAATCTTTTTCACGGGATGAATCTTAGCTTTAAATCATGGAAAATCCATTAATAAACATTATATGAAAAAATGGATTGGGTATTGCATTGACTATAGCAAGTTTGAATTTGGGGTATGCTAAAAAGAATAAACAAATTTTATACTGGACAGAAAGCAGACATGAATTACTGCCCCATTAATGTTTTTAAGATAATCCTTATATATGAGTGTGTAAGTACTATGTTTAATAAGTAATCTATGGAATGAAATTCATATATAAAAAAAACTTTCATCTTGCAAACCCAAATTTAGTATTTGTTTCTTTTTATGCTCCCCGAAAATTTTCGCCGCCTTGTCCGTCCGTCCTTCCGGCCGGCCGTCTGTCCCCTTTTCTTGTCCGGGACATAACTTTGAAACAACAAGAGGTGTCAACATGAAACTTTGTAGGTAGATAGATCTCATTGAGTAAGTGTGCAGTGCATAAGAACCGTAACTCTGCCTTGCCTAATTTTTGAATCATTCCCCTTTGTTTATTTTTACACTTTGAACTTTGTCCAGGACATAACTTTAAATGTATAAGAGGTATCAACATGAAACTTTGTAGGTAGATAGATCTCATTGAGAAGGTGTGCAGTGCACAAGAACCGTAACTCTGCCTTGCCTAATTTTTTAATTATCCCCCTTCGATTACTTTACACTTTGAACTTTGTCTGGGACATAACTCTAAAACTGTAAGTAGTATCAACATGAAATTTTGAGTAGGTGTGCAGTGCACAAGAACCGTAACTCTGCCTTGCCTAATTTTTGAATTATTTCTCTTTGTTTATTTTTACACTTTGAACTTTGTTCAGGACATAACTTTAAATGTATAAGATGTATCAACATGAAACTTTGTAGGTAGATAGATCTCATTAAGTAGGTTTGCAGTGCACAAGAACTGTAACACTGTCGTGCCTACTTTTGGAGTTATTTCCCTTTGTTCATTTTGTCACTTTGAGCATTGTCCGGGACATTAATCTAAAATTATAAGAGATATCAACATGAAACTTTGTAGATAGATAGGTCTCATTGGGTGGAATGGCAGTGCTTAAGAATCATTACTCTGCCTTGCCTTTTTTGAAGTTATTGCCCTTTGTTTATTTTTACTTTTTGACTTTTGTCTGGGAACTTTAAAACTATTAGAGATATCAACATGAAACTTTGTAGGTAGCTAGATATAATTGGATAGAACTGCAATGCTTAAAGAACCTAAACAAAGCCTGGTCTAATTTTGGAGTTATTGCCCTTTGTTAATTTTTACACTTTGAATTTTAACCGGGACATAACTCTGATATCATCAGGAAACTTTATAGATAGATAGATCTCATTGAATAGAAATGCAGTGCAAAAGAACATAACTCCGCCTTGCCTAATTTTGGAGTTTTTGCCCTTTCTTCATTTGTTTATACTTTCCTGTGTCCAGAACCTTCTCGGGGAGCATCACCCGGTTCAACCGGTTCTTGTTTTTAAGAAGCACTTTACTCCATAAAATATAAGGTAGACGCTTTAAACTTAAACCATGTTACTCATGGATGATCAATATCATTCAATTTGATTTTATGTAACAGGAAGTATGAAAGGCACATGATTTTACATTTGAATCAGTTTGATATGGATAAGCAGTACATTATTATTTCAAACTTAAAATCTTATCACATATGTGTATTGTGAAGTATTGTGAAGTAGGCAGATATGAATGCTTGCTGCATTGTTTCTTGCCCTTTGATGCAGAGAACGTATGTAATATTGTAAAGCATCCTGTGGTCTGTTTTCTTGTTCCATACATTGCCCCAAAATATTAAGAGTTGTTTCTCTATGTTTAAGGTTTTTCTCTGTAAATGTGGTTCTGATAAGATTATTGAGAGCCTGTTGTTTTTCTTGTTGTCTTTGTAGATGACTATATATCTTATATTGTAGGAAGTATAAGAAAGGTAGAGAATCAACTACAGCCAATTCCATCCATAGGTCAAAAGGACCTCTGTGTATCATGTCATCTTGTGTAGATCTGAACAGTTCATATTGTAATTCATGAGGAACGCAATTGATTTCCTGTCGTATGAAACGGAACCAAAATGCTGTAATATGTTTGATACAGTTTTCATTGTGTTCATTACAATATTTTTTAATGTCTACAGATTTTAATCGCAGAGGCCTCTCTATAATGCAGCTACAGATAGGATGAACAGGATGAGAGTGATATTTTTGTTCAGTTTGTCTCAGGATCTCTTCAGCTTTCTCCATCTCTCCTATACTGAAGAATACTGATGCGAGTTTCAGTCTGCCAGATGAAACATCTGAGTTTAAACCATCTGATAGAAAATTAAATGCTACAGGCAATATTTCATTATTTTCGCCAATACTGGATGATGCTAGGGCAGATCCATATGTGGTAAAGGTTAAATGTTGCAGAAACTTGAATGCAATGTGTCCCTCACCATAATCAATCCAGGTCATTTGGAAAACTAATTTTTCTACATATTGGTACATTTCTTCAATGTTTGTATCTTGTAATTGTAGTAATAAAAGAAAGAAACTTCTGCTTACTGCGAATGCAAAATCAATGTATAATACAGCAGGAATTTGTAGAGAAGGAAAAGAACTGTTCACTTTTAATGGTGCAATATTCAGTTTATTTTGAAGTCTATATCCAAGGTAATCAGTATCAATTCGAAGCAAAAAATGTCTATAATTTTTAATAAAGTCACTTACATTTCCTGAAAGTTTATGGTTTGTCTTAGAAGTAAACTGCCCTGCTATCAAGTTTTCAGATATTATAAAATGGGAACAATGTTCATTCTGTACACAACTGTGTAATTCCTGTAAGCAGAATATTATACATGTCAATAAATTGTTATCTACCCATAAACTTGCTTCTGTATTTTCTATACAATGGAATAAAACTGTTTTAATCATAAAACTTGATATATTTATTTTCCCCTGAGGATTCAGGCATGATTTAAGAATCATTTTAAGTAACACATAGCATCTTACTTGTGTCATATTTAAATTGAACATAAGATATCACTCTGCCAGAGATGTAGATAATCTCCACTCCAGTTCAGGATAAACACTGACTTTACTTCCAACAGGAACAACAAAACACCTTGTTTCGGCTGCAAATCTTCTCATCTCATTTGTTGGCCATCCCCCTGTACCTTGTCTCTTTAACCAACCTGAAGCTGACTGAGGCCAAGATTTACAGGGATAAGCATGCACTATGTCTACATCACGAACTTGATACTGTCCTTGTGCAGTACTAGTAATGGATGGTCCATGCTGCTTCATACCAGAACGCATCCTTACATTTTTATTTGTGTTTTTACACAATATTTCTCCTCTTTCAGATTTTTGGTGATCAACAGGAATTTCAGTGGCAGGCAAAGGTTCATCAGATTGAAACCGTTGTATAAAACAATATCCAGGGGTGGTGTTCTCATCATGTATCATGAGGTAGTTTTCCTTGCCAAGTTCCCACTCTGACAAGTCTTGTATAACATTAAAATTATTTTCACAAGTTACATAATCTATGTCTGACTGAAGTCCTTCAGTAGTTGTACCTTCATTTTGACTCCCCATAATGTAACAAGTCTGATTTAAACCAGTTGAAATTTTGATATAGTAACCAAAGTCTCTTCCATCTTCTTCAATTTTCTCCTTTTCATCACCATTCGTTCATTGACACCGATATCATCTAAAACATCGGATAACATCAGTGATAACTGTTCCCTGTAGTGAGGTGCTGATAACATTCTGCAATATAACAAAAAGGAAATGTTTTAAAAGACAGCTAACAAGTTTCTTTGTTACGCATTCCTATTTGTTACTCATTTGTTATTTTTTGTTTTAGAACAGAACAGAACATTAGTGCCAGGCTTAACATGGTATTTCAATTATATAAGTTGTGGTAGATATTGATTATTAAAAAACAAATATATAAATAAATATGAATACAGTTGAAAGATTAATAAGCACTGATTTCAACAAATTTTTGTGATGTTTATGATATTCAGAATGTATGTATTTACACTGGAAATCATTTACGAATGTATGGAGAATTTCACAATGTACACTTTACCCTGAATGACAGATCCAGTTTGAAATAAAATCGATTAAAAAGTCATGTATGTTTGCATGGGCGATTGCGAATCTAAGAGGAAGAACCATTCAATTGTTTTATTGATAACAGTTTTTGCATTATTAAATGTAAAAAAAAGTTAAAAGGCTGTCCTTAAATGCAATTAATTGTAAGCTGAAAAATTGTAAATTTTTAGCTAAGCTGTTCTTTCGAAGAAAACGAAATGTATTGAGTTATTGTTATCATCATGTTGTTTTCCCGTACCCTTAGCGGTTTCTCGAATGATGCCGATGTCGTCCACAAACTTAAACATTTATTATTTTAATTCTAGATTATAATCTTCATACTTGGCCACAGCACCCTTGAGACAAAAACCTTCAAGTACAGCACACCGGACTAACCCTGTGTTTCAATTATAAATGACCTCGACCTTCAAGGTCAAATGATTTTTGCTATAATTGCTTTTACTTATTTTTGAATGGATTGTCTTCAAAATAGAACACAGCAATCTTTAAGGATAGACCATCAAGTTAACCAGAAGCGCTTTGATCTTAACTCAAAAATGACCTTGACCGTGAATGTCAAATTATTAGATTTTTTTCTAGCTATCACTTATTATTAATGAAGTATTGGCTATTTAGAACCAACATTTTTTAGAATTCACGTATATCGTAGGAAATTGGTCTTGGCTTTTTTAAAAAAAAATCATGACCTTGACTTGAAGTTTTAAATTATTTGATTTTCACTGATTTTTTGGCTATAA